CAAAAACGAAGCTTCACACCCCATTTCTGCAAAGGGAAATCTTATTCAGAATCGCGTCAGCTACCCCCCATTTCAGGGACCTACACTAATTGTGAAACACCCTGTATAGATGAGATTATATTGGTGATATTGTTGGAAAAATTTGTAATATTTAATTATTATACATTGGACCTAATTATTAAATTACATGTTCTAGTAGACTGTATCTATCTTCTAGCTATTAAATTATATCTTCTACTAGACTTTGTCTATTTTCTAATCATTAAGTTGTCTTCTACTAGACTATCTACTATGAAATTATTGTCAAATATTAGTAATAAATATTAATTGCTTTTGTAAAATATTTATTTATATGCAACTTCGATGGACATAACATTAACATAATTTGTACCACATAACTCAACGTATATAATTAATGTATTAAATTTATAATTAATGCAACTATGAAACATTAATTGCAGTACAAAAATTATCTCTAAATTCCGTCCCCAAAATTCTTAAACCACCTTGCAACGAATAACAATTTCATAAAATAACACAGTATACTTTTTCGTGACAAAACTTTTGAATAAATTACCGCCACATTTCGAAAGATTTATTCATTACTGGTTCTCATTACCCATAAATCACGCGATCGATCTTTCACGCTGTCGCATCTACGCAAATCGCTTCACACCGCGATTCTAATTACGCATCTTAATAAATTAGACGTTCAAGACAGAGTTAGAAAGCTTCTCTATTTTTGAAACCTGGTCGTCTTAATGAGCGATCGATAGAACAGAAAACCGCTCCCTGTTTTTATTTATACCAATATGTGACTATTAATTATTCAAATTTCACCGTCGAGAAATTAAACGTTTCTCGAAAACGTGTTACATTTTATTTTTTATCGAGATCGTTGATCCTTGTAGAAACTTATTTAATTTTCCTCCAGTGAGCAATTATCATATTTTTATTTTGTAAATCACTAGTTTGTACTCGATCATACTCTTATTTACACCTGGTTTATTTTCGATGATTCATTGTATACAATGAATTGAATAGAGTGTCTTGAGTCTACTGGACAGGCACTTATGGGTGAAACTTTGCTACTTCGTTTCTAGTTTCTTTTTATTTCACTTCTCATGGTAAATGCACTTCAAAAATTTTACTGAGGGCTTCGATAAATAAATTTATTAAATTTTATTATTTTACTGTTAATACGAAGTTCGGGGATTTTACTGAAGGTATTCAGTTTTGTTATTTTGCTGAAAATGAAAAATTTCATTATTTTACTGAAAATGAAAAATTTCATTATTTTACTGAAGATATAAAATTTTATTATTTTCAGCAAAAATACAAAAATTACAATTTCACCTAAAGATATAAAATTTCATAATTTTAATGAAAATATAAAATTTCACAATTTCATTTGAAAATAGAAAATTTTACAATTTTACTGAAAACATTTTCATCTGAAAATATGTACCAGGGTACACAATTTTGTTAAACTTATGTACATCCAGCATAATTTATTTATAACAATATCTAATACATGTTGTTCACAAAAAAGTGCAGTTTGAATTGAAAATATTGACATCTGCCTTACACTCCTCAATTATTTTCATCTTGCAATCATTTCATTAAAATTATTTTTTTCTTCAAAGCAGTAATGTTTTCAGAAATTTCGTCCACAGTATAATTTTTCGAGGAGTGTGTACTAATACAGTGATTGAATAATCGTGCTATCGACGAGTGTTTTATCAGTGAAACTATTTCACACTTTGTTGAACACACATCCCGTCCATTCTTGAGAAGAGTACGAATGGCACGATGAGTGTTAAGAATCTATTTTGAAGTATGCAACATAGTGCAGAACTCAGCGATGCGTCAAATCGTGAAACTATCACTCCGAGTATTTCTTTTTTGACGAAACATTCTACTTTATTGGGTACAATAGAAAAACTTGAATTTACAAACCCTATCATACTTGAGAGATAATTGTCTCATTTGACTCACATGTTATTTTTATAAAATCACAAATAAAATGTACATAATTAAAATCCAAATAAGTCTTGAATTAGCAAAAACAATAATACTTGACAAATAGTTGTCTCATTTGACTCACATGTCATTTTAAAAAATCACAAATAAAATGTAGGTAATTAAAATACAAATAAATCTTGAATTAGCAAAAACAATAATACTTGACAAATAGCTGTCTCATTTAACTCACATGTCATTTTAAAAAAATCATAAATAAAATGTAGGTAATTAAAATACATATAAATCTTGAATTAGCAAAAATAGTAATACTTGACAAATAGTTGTCTCATTTGACTCACATGTCATTTTAAAAAATCACAAATAAAATGTAGGTAATTAAAATACAAATAAATCTTGAATTAGCAAAAACAATAATACTTGACAAATAGCTGTCTCATCTGACTTACATGTCACTAAAAAAAAATCACAAATAAAATATAAATAAACTTTGAATTACCAAAAACTGCATATAAGACTTGACAAATAAGGATTGTCATCTGACCACTTGAAATTCATCTGATCCTCAAATATTACTTAAAATAACCACGATTTATCGTGGTTTGCCAATTTCCCAATTTTCCAAATTTCCACTTTTCCTCTTTCCCACTTTCCCAATTTCCCAATTTCGTAAAAGCCCAAATCCCCAAATTCCCAATTTACCAATTTCCCAAATTTCCATCTCCCAAAGCTTTCTCCACATTTTGTCAATACCTAACTGCATTTTTTAATTTCAGAAAATTAAAGAATTGAAGTAGACCAACTATCTGTAAAGTTTCAATTGAACTTGTTAAATCATTTAAACTAATAAAATTAAAAATATTTGGATAATTTCTATTCCAAGATCATAATCTCAATAATAACAGCAAAATAAAAAGCACTGAACACTGACAATCTGAAGAATTAATCTGACATCCCCATATCTTTCATCTCGAAATGTTTACATTCGTAACCTTGCCACCGTAAATCCACCTCGAAGGTCGACACGTGTTCTCAGATAAAAACTAAACATCTAAATAATCCGACACAAAATAAATTTCGACCAATACATTAAGTTTCCCCGATAAATCACTTCTAGAAAGTTTAATCGTTTCGAGGTAATAAGTACGCCGTAAAAGTCCATAAATACGACATTAAAGGTCCTTAACGAGTCGCTTCGTAATCGATGTAACGAGCGTCTACTTAAATAGACGTTTTTGTTCAATCTGACACGAACGAGTGTTTCACGTTACAGGCTGAATTATTCCTTTCATTATGCGTTTGATTAATTTACCAGGTGCTTCACGCACGGTTATCTTAATATCTAACCTCGTGAGCGGTAGCCGAGTGGTACAGTTATGGAAAACACGCAAAACGGAAAAAGAATGAAAAGCAAACTGCAGAGTAACGGTAGGTACAACTGTGAAATGCAGTTAATACGTTGTCCTAATCCGGGGTTTAATTATGCAAAAATGGGGTAAAATGGATCGGTAATGATGGAGATTTAATGGGAGTTCGATTTTGAATTGCCTTGGAATGGAAAGATTGGCGGACCGTGAACATAACAGTTTCGTGTGGTACGGGAATAATAGATAAAATGTAACGATACGGAAAATTTTTGCTGCATTGCTATTTTCAAGGTTTTGTGTATCAAGGTTTTCATATCGAATTAGGGAATTGGAGAATGGTGGAATATTTCAAAATTCAGAATTCTATGGTGATATTTTAATATTCGCAAATTTCTGTATTCTTGAATTTTAATATTCACAAATTTTTATGGGTTCCAATTTGCATATTTGCACAGTTCCAAGACTCCAAATCCAATTTTCCAATTTTCCTGTTTCCCATTTTCCAATTTTCCAATTTTCCTGTTTCCCATTTTCCAATTTTCCAATTTCTCTATTTTCCCATTTTCCCATTTCCAATATTCCAATATTCCCATTTTCCAATTACCCAATTACCCAATTTTCCAAATTTCCAATTTTTCCAATTTTTCCAATTTTTCCAATTTTCCAATTTTCCAAATTTCCAAATTTCCACTTTTCCACTTTCCCACTTTCCCACTTTCCCAATTTTCCAATTTCCCAATTTCGTAAAAGCCCAAATCCCCAAATTCCTAATTTACCAATTTCCCAAATTCCCAAATTTCCATTCTTGCAATTCCCATATTCCCAAATTCCCATTCTTGCAATTCCCATATTCCCAAATCCCCATATCCCCAATTTCCCAATTTTGCAAATTCCCATAATCCCAAATTCCCAAATCCTCAAACTCACATCTCCCAAAACCCCAAATGCCCAAATCCCTAGATCCTCAAACCCACATCTCCCAAATCCCCAAATACTCCAACTCACGTCTCCCAAATCCCCAAATCCCTAAATCCCCAAATCCTCAAACCCACACCTCTCAAATTCCCCAAATCCTCAAATCCACGCCTCCCAAATCCCCAAATCCTCAAACCCACGCCTCCCAAATTCCCCAAATCCTCAAACCCACCTCTCCCCAATCCTCAAACTCCAAACCTCCTTGTTTAAAAAAACCACAAATTCTTCCCTGTTCCACCTAAATACAATTGCAAGGTTTACTCATGCCTGCCCACCTCGAACTTCTCCAAAGTCTCCCTGAAGCACCAAGAACACGGTATTCGACTGCTCGATATGGTATCGTATCGAGCAGATCCGATAAGGCAAGCAAACGCAAGCGGAAGGAGTAACGGAGCATCGGTGAGGCAAAGAGGAAAGGAAGAATGGACGCTGAAGAGGGGGCACCAACGTGGTTCCCATGCTCCATGGGCATCAAACCGAAGACAGAGGCAGCATTCGCGTGTCCTGCTCCTCAGTGGCCGATTCCTTTCTGTATCGTCTTGGTTGTACAGTACCGGTTAGACAACCACGCAGTGGCCAAGTGCTAGTGAACTCACCTGGGCAACATCCGACTGCTTGTTTTTAAGGTGATACACGGGAAACTGGTCTTGGGTCATGTTCGGCTGAGGCTTGAATCTTCCTTGATGTTTTGGGTAAGCTGGCAAATTTAATGCATTATGAATTGTTTGTAAATAAGTTCTTTTGTTAAGTCTTTTTGTAGAAAACTTGCTGATGTAGGAGTTAATATGTAGGAACGAATGTTGAACTAATGTGGATGGATCATGTTAAATGAGATGTATCAGTCATGTGTTTGTATGTTTATTTAGGAACAATTCTATGTTCTACATTTTTGATATGACTGATATGATGTGTTACATATAGGATTTTATATGATGTCATATGTGTATGTTTATTTACTGACAATTCTATGTTCAAAATTTTTAATATAGTGTAACTGAATTTTGTCATATGTAGGAATTAATATGGTGTGACTTAATAATGTGTAACATGTGGGATTTGATATAATGTCATATGTGTGTATGTTCATTTGCTGTCAACTCTACATGCTACATTTTTAATGTAATATAACTGAATTTTGTAACATATAGGGACATTCAGTATGACAACAGTCATGTGTGAGTATGTTCATTTGCTGTCAGCTCCACATGTTAAATTTTTAACTGAATATAACTTGAATATGTGAATACATGACATGTAGGAATATTTGATATAATACCACTTGTCACACATGTGTCTATATGCTCATATGTACCTTCACATTATACTTATACTTCTGTATGATCTAATGTTTACAACTGTACCTGTATTCACTATTGGTCTGTAACAGGTGTTTATAAACGTTATCTGTTGATTCTAATTTACATAGTGATCGGTAACAATCATAGTGATCGAGACACATGACTCAGGATGATCGTCGCAAATTACTATGAAATTTAATTCAGTGACGAATGAATTCATACACTTAAAAAATGACACAGAAAATTTGTTAATCACAAAAACTTGTTCCAAAATAAAATTGTACATACAACTATATAATACATATATGCAAACATATCAATACAGATATTGCAATTTCTTGTTCTGTATCTACTTGTATTTTATTTGTGTATCTAGTAATTATTAACTAAAAGTTCAAATCCTTGAAAGGTACATAATGCTTGTATCCGTAGGCTTGTATTAGTACACAATGCTCGTGTAACCATAAACGATGACAGGGATACCATAAACAAAACAATCATACGAAGGCAACCGCTGCAGTACATTTGTATCTACTGGACTGCACGTGATTTGCTTAAAATAATTCCACTTGCATATATATATTGCATTCCTGCTGCATGCATTATGCACAAGCTTTAATTCACTGCACTCGCTTGACGTCTGCGTTGCAACGAAACAACGATTAGCATATTTTACTTTGGCGGTACTCGAAATGTGTACTCTGTAATTTGTGTTGGGTAGATCAGTATGAACACAATAATCTTTTTGTTTAATTTTAATATTTGAGGTTTTAGTTTGCAATTTTTTGTTTGGTGAAGGCTGTTGAAAGGATTTTTGAGAGAATATTGAGGTTAGGGTTATATTAAGGTTGGGTTACATTAAGGTTAGAGTTATAACAAGAATAGAGTCGTGTTAAGGTTAGAGTTATGTTAAGGTTAGGTTACATTAAGGTTATATTAAGGTTGGGTTACATTAAGGTTAGAGTTATAACAAGAATAGAGTCATGTTAAGGTTAGAGTTGTTAAGGTTAAAATTATATTCACAAACTTGACTCATCAATTTTTATATCTAATTTAAGTATCTTCTTCAGTCTCTCAATTTACAATTTTTCATTTAATAAATAAAAACAGCTGATTATATTTTCATTGCAATATATCAAGATTAAAGTTATATTTACTTACTAATCAAGTTTTTAATTTAATTTAAACATCTTATTCAATTTTTCAATCTACAGTTTTTCATTCAATAAATAAAAGACTTTATCTCTAACGTAATTAAGGTTAGGTTGTATCAAGATTAGAGTCGTATTAGGTTAGAGTTATATCAAGAATAGAGTCACATGAAGATTAGAGTTATCGACCCATCAATTTTATTCTCTTCAAATATTTAGTTTCGCAATTTAAAATTCTTTAAAACTCGAATTTCGCTAAATTACATCGGATTTTCTCGGTAATCCTCGGCAGACGATTGCAGAGTAAAAAGTAAATATTTCACTTCTCGACGATTATGAGATTTAAACGATCATGAGTCCATGTAGTACCACGTGTTGATCTTTCGAGGCAAATGTTAAATACTTCTGGTACGTAGGTTTGCTTTGTTGTAAAAGTGTGTGCCTTGAACTCGATTACAAACGAAAGGTCAAGAACGGACTTTGCAGCTTGTGTACCGAGCAAATATCGAGATATTCGGTGAAAGGGGCTTACTATATAGAGAACTGATAAAACACACTATTACAGATATGGTAATAAAACCGGTTACAGCTCGTAAAATTATGTCTTATGAATCACCAGATCTCTTCAAATATCAAGTTTTATAATTCATGTGTTCTTGTGTCTGAAGTTCCCAGATTTGAAGATTGATCTGACTTCTATTTTGAGGTTAGGAATTTTTATTCAAAATTTTAATTTACAATAGTAAATTTAATTTAAATAGTTATATATTTATGTACTGAGATAAATGTTTAAGAGACTACTCACGAATTAAACTTGTATATTATAGTTTCGTTCTAAACTAATATTAAGTACCAATTCAACAGCTACTTAAGTTTACTCATAACAATAATATACAGGGTGTCTTACAGTGTCCCTAAAATGGTAGCTGACGTGATTCTGAATAAGATTTCCCTTTGCAAAAATGGGATTCGAAGCTTCGTTTTTGAATTATTAAGGAAAAACACGGACCAATCAGAGCGCGAGTGCGCGCGCAGCCGCTAGGCTCGCAGCTGTCGCTCTCGCGTCTGCGCATGCGTAATCCTCGCGCTCTGATTGGTCCGGCGTTTTTCCTTAATAATTCAAAAACGAAGCTTCACACCCCATTTCTGCAAAGGGAAATCTTATTCAGAATCGCGTCAGCTACCCCCCATTTCAGGGACCTACACTAATTGTGAAACACCCTGTATAGATGAGATTATATTGGTGATATTGTTGGAAAAATTTGTAATATTTAATTATTATACATTGGACCTAATTATTAAATTACATGTTCTAGTAGACTGTATCTATCTTCTAGCTATTAAATTATATCTTCTACTAGACTAGTCTATTTTCTAATCATTAAGTTGTCTTCTACTAGACTATCTACTATGAAATTATTGTCAAATATTAGTAATAAATATTAATTACAATCGTTTGTAAAATATTTATTTATATGCAACTTCGATGGACGATGATTAAGAGGTAGAATCATATAAAATATAAATAATGGACGTCGATGATTAACAGACACCTCGAAAGATAAGAGAATGTCGGTACTCAATGAGTCAATCTTTACTAAAAATTCGCAGTCAATTTAACTTGAACGAGTAGTCATTTTGCGGACAGGATGATGACTCCTAGAACTCGTCTCCCAGAAAGAATGTGACTGTTCATCGCTGATTACGGTGAGAATTATTACAGGAAGGAAGCGTGCAAGGCATGCTTATTAACTGCAAGAAAATTATTACGTAAGAGAAAGTAACAAGCTGAACACTCTATCGTTCCATATTGACAGGTGGTGACTATTTAAAAAGTGTATCTACATACGTTCGAGTGAGATGGAATATGTGTAGGATTTATTTGATGTGTGGGGAAGGAGAGGCTGTCGCTTGTTATCGATTCTTAGAAATCAAATGACTGATAATTTTTTGGAGATGGAGTTTCAAGGTTTAAATGTGGAAACTTGTAATGGTTCATGAAATTTCAATATTTTGGTGAATTTTTGTACTGTCAAATTTTAGTAGTCTTCAAATTCCTATTTTCCCAAGTTGCCACGCTTTCCAATATTTCACGTCTTCTAAATTTCCATATTTTTACGTTTCTATAGCCCCAAATTTCTGTGTCCCTAATTTCCCACTACCTAATTTCTTACGTCCCTAATTTCCCACGCCCCTAATTTCCCACGCCCCTAATTTCCCACATCCCTAATTTCTCACCTCCCTAGTTTCCCATATTCCTAATTTCCCATCCCCTAATTCCCCACGCCCCTAATTTCCCGCATCCCTAATTCCCCACGCCCCTAATTTCCCACATGCCCAATTTCCCACATCCCTAATTTCTCACATCCCTAGTTTCCCATATTCCTAATTTCCCATCCCCTAATTTCCCACGTCCCTAATTTCCCACATCCCTAATTTGTCACATCCCCAATTTCCCACATCCCAAATTTCTCACCTCTCTAATTTCTCACATCCCCCATTTCCCACATCCCTAATTTCCCACATCTCTAATTTCCCACATCCCTAATTTCCCACATCTCTAATTTCACACACCCCTAGTTTCCCACATCCCCAAATTCCTAAAATTTCCAAATTACCAAATCACCAAATCCCCACAAATCTCCTCCACCCCTCAAATCCCTAAAATCCTCAAATCCCCACATTCCTCAAATATTCAACCTTCTAAAAATTGCAAATCCCTCAACTTACAAACGCCCTATTTTTCATCCTCTTTCTTCAACTCCATCCTCTTCCCCTATTCACAAAAGAACAAAAACAATGCATAAAAATAATTACACGCACAATTATGAAAATCTTTTGTCTCATATTTCATGTAAACCTTTTGTCTCGTATTTTACATAAAACTTTTGTTTCAGCAAAAATTAAAGAGACGCATAGAAATATCCGTGTAAAAGCTTTCGTAACTTTCTATAACAAAAGCAAATTCAGTGCAACCCAATGCAACAATGCATCCGATTACGTTAATTTTCCGCTTTTTTCTTTTTTTTTTTCATGCGGTCCGTTGCATTCAGGAAGCGCATTTCCACTTCCTCTGCAATTGACACCGGTGTCTAAATCAGATTTTCGCGTGGAACATAATTGCGTAACATCGCGCTAATTACCGCGATTAAGTTCACTTTACGTTCGGAGAAAATCACTTCTGTCCGTTGGGTGTTTGTCCCGACGAATAAAATGTGTTGAACAAAAGCGAATTTCAGTGAA